GAGAGCAAGGGAAAGCTGGAGAGCGCAAGGGATAGCATCGAGAGCCGGAAGAAGGGCTGTGGAGAGAGCAGTGGAGGAGGGAGAGCTGGAGGGAGAGCTGCAGAGCTGGAGGGGAGCTGGAGGGAGAGCTGGAGGGAGCAGGGGGAAGCATCGAGATCGAGCCAGCCGCGCCCCCCCCACACACACACACATTTATAGCAGCACGCCGCTGGCAGCGGGGAGGCCAGGCGAAGCCTGCCGCACTGCTAGGGCGGCCCGGGGCCGGCCTCGCTGCCGGGACTAAGTCGGGCCTGTCCCTCTACCGGAGGACGATTCAAACGTAGCCCACGAGTAGTCAGGGGACGATGCTTTGAATAGTTGTTATCCTGCGTTTGACCTTTTTTGGTTTTTTTTATGGCTTCCTCCAGTATCCGCCTGTAGGGGGACATGCCCGACCCAATGCTAGGGCGACTCGCTTGCAAGCAGCGCCTGCACCATCCGATATGATGGCACGGCGCAGGATCTTGACGCGAGCCTCGCTGGAGGGATGCCACCGGGAGCGCGTAGGACATCGCACCAAGGGCCATCCGCCGGGGCTGGCGAGCCCGCGGGTGGCGAGCCCGGGGGGCCCGCGCAAGAGCGGGCCTTCGCCTGAGCACAGTCAACCCGCATGGTTGAGTCGGGCCTGGCCCTCTACAAGAAGAATATTCAAAAATAGCCAACCAATAGTCAGGAAACGATGTTTTGATGATTTAAGAAGATAGATTTGGAGGATTTGGGGGGTTTGGTTGTCTGAATTTTCCTCCAAAGCCCGCCTGGAAAGGGACATGCCCGACGTAACGGTAAGGATGGGCAACCTTCCCAAGGGGTGCCCCTTGCATCCGTGTCTCCTCGGTCCATCTTTGGCCACTTTCGTTTGCCGCGCCCCGCTCGAGAAGCTTCGAGATGAACGCCCAAGGCCCTCTGCATCGGGGATCCAGCCGTGGCGACGAGAAGCCTCCAGGAGGGGGCCCGCCGGAGCCCGAAGGCGGCGCCGCTCCTTGGCGACTTACCCTGCGCGGGAGGCAGCGCGGAGGCGTCTGCATGCCTGGCTGCGCAGCGCACTGCGCAACTCAGGAGGGAAAGAAACACACAGACACAATTAATCTTCGATTTCCTGGAAAATATGGGAAAATATGGGAAGTGGTGGGAAAGACAAAACCCCAGAAAATATGGGAAAATATGGGGAATATTTTTATTTGTGTGTATTTATTTGTGTGTCCTGGGGCCCCTTCAGCAACTCCCAGACAGGTCCCGGACTGAGCCTTTGGGTGGGGTCGAGCGCCGCGCCTGCGCGCGTGCTCGCGTCCGCACGTCCAAAAAGAAGACCTGGGAGCTCCCCGCCCCGCCCCACCCTCCCCCCGCAGCTCCCCTGAGACCGCGCACCGGAGTCCTCTCATGCCCAGGGTCATCACCCTCGCGGTCGGTCGAGTGGGACCGCCACCGTGCGTCAGCCACCACCCAGTGCGGCGCTCCGTGGCCCCATGCGGAACTCCACCGATGGTCCCAGTGGGGCCGCCCGCATGCGTCAGCCACCAACCTTTAGTGGCCCCGTTGGGGAGGGCGCTCCACAGAAAGGCCCCACTGGAACCGAGTCCGTGGCCAACGGTTGGGGGTCTCTCAGGGTCCCGGGGTCGTTCCCAGGCCTCCCAGGCGGGGTCCGAGCAGGTGGGGCCGGAGGCTCGATCGCGCATGGATGCATCGGCGATGCATCGGCTTCGGCAGCTGCTGCAAAATGTGTGGATGGCCCCCCACCCAGACCTGTGCTTCCCGCCATTACGCTGCTGTCAGCCGTGACCCAGCGGGTCTGCTCGGCCTTGGGTCGAGCCCTCCAGTCTAGCCCCGCGCTTCCGTCGGATCGGGCGCGGTCAGGCCCCTTCCACTCTGGCCCCTTATGTGTGGGGCCTCCATCGATGGCGACTTCAGTCGGTGCTGCGCGGTCAATCCCTTCAGCTTTCCTCCTCCTCGCCCTCCTCTTCTGTTCCCCTGTAAATAACTTCATGTCGCACCCCGAGGCCAGTCGGAAGGGCGGCCTGGGCGGTCCGCCTGTGGCTTCAGTGCCACCAGAGACCTGATGGTTCAAGACGGGCAACAGCTTCACGGATGGAGGGCCGGCGGTGTCTTATTCCTATGGTTCTTGCCTTAGCGCCCCGCACACTCGTGCTTGACAGTCGGCAAAAGCTTCACGCATCATTGGTAACGGGTCGTTTTCAGCATGTTTGTGTGTCTCCTCCTTCGCGCCGCGTGCAGTCGACTTAGGTGCTTGCCAGGGCTTCTCGGATGGAGGGCGGGCCGTCTTCGAAATGCGGCTCTCGTCCCAGCGCCGCGCACACTCGCCGACGTAGAGGATTTGCAAACGTTTCACGGATTTTGTGGGCGGCTCCATTTTAACCGTCTTTCCAATTGCAAGAGTTTCGCGGGTTCCCATGCTTCACGTACCAGAACTGGCGCTTTGGAGCAATCCAGGATCGCCAAGGCGCAGCAGATCTTTTGATCCGCAGTGATGGCGTCCCAGGAATGGGGTTCTGGAGCGATGCACGTAGGATCGTCAAGACGCAACAGTCAGGTTGATTCGTGGCGCTGGAGTCCTGAGAGTGGTGTTTGCGCACGCTTCAGGATCTTCAGACGGTTGTTTTCCAACGGGGCATTTCCCTCTGTGGACATGAATCCTCGTACTTGGCTTATGAAGAGGGAGTTTGGAGGGGTTGTCTCTTTCAACATCGTTGATGGGTTTGGGGTTTACGCTGGTCCTCCTTATTCCTCCTCCTCCTCATCATCTTTCTCCCTCCTCCTTCCTCCCTCTGCCGTCCCTCCTTCCTCCACTCTCCTCTTTCCGCCCTCCTCCCTCCTCGCCGTCGTCGTCTTTCTCCTCATTCAAAACTGCGCCGAAAACGAACAGTCAACAACAGAAATGTTTATGCCCTGTACCCAGCGCCCACCGACCAGCAGCGGTGCCGCCCAACAGGGGACGGCCGCATCCGCGGAGGCGCTTGGCCCTCACGAGGGGCCCCTTCGGCTCTGCGCGAGAAAGCAGCGGCGGTTCCCTCTAGCTGCTCATTTCTAGGCCTTCCAGATGGGGTCCGAGTGGATTGGGGTAGGAGGATCGCCGCCGCATCGCCGATGCATCGGCGATGCGGCTCGATGTGGAGCCCGATTTTCTACACGCCGACGGCGCAGAGGCAACTCCGAGGTATCGACGATGCGGCTCGTCCCTCCGACACCATCTACTCGGATCCAATTTAGGAGGTCTCTATCTTTCCTCCTGGTGGGCGAAACATACCCCTATCCACTGCCTCGCATGCTGGGCCACTGGGCCGCCAGACACTGGGCGTTTTGTCACGGATGGCCCGTGCGGAACTATCCGTGCGACCGTGTATCCGAGGGATCGCGGCCTGGAATCCAGTCCGCGTGGGCGCGGATGCGGACATGTTCGCCGCTCGTGGCTCATGCCCGCGACGGGACATGGGGGGCCACATGCGAACCCTACCCCTCCCCCTCAGAAATCGTGGGGGGTATAGGGGTAGGGGTAGTGAGCCCCTGGGGACAGCGGGTCGGGTCGGGCGAAAATCCGAGGAGGGCCAGCCGAGATGGCGGTAAGGGGGCCTCTGGGGGGCGGCCCTTCGTCGCCACGGCCAAGAGGCGGCTCGGAAGACTGGTGCCCTTGGACCCGGGAGGGCTGCAGGGATCGATTTGGAGCGTCCGTGCTCTCAAATCGCCCGTTCCTTAGAATTCCGTGAACAAGTCTATTCGTTTTTCGCTCGCCGTCTCGGGGATGGCATGTCGGAAACTGGAACATATACCTTACCAGTGGCGGGTTTTGTTTCAATCCCACGCTTGTTTGAGGGTCGGGGACGCCGACGGGGTGCTATGGTGTATACGTTTTCCCCAGCGTTCCTGGGGAAACAACGAAAAATGTATGCACCAGGATCCCGTATACATCGGGGGTGGACAGACCTCCTACCCTGACACGTCGATGAGTGAATTGGCCGTGTTCGGTTCGCGAGAGGGCGTCGCGGCCGTCATTGTTGCGGGTCCAGGTCCACTGGTGTCGGTCCCAGGCCGTTTTCACAAAGGGGAGGTCTATTAAAGGGAGGTTTGTCCAGCGCCGAGAAAGGGGGGATAGGGAAAGGGGGGGGGCGTACGAAATCTGTTGCATGCAGCTTGTTTCTTCGTCCGCTCCACCTGGCGCCTCTCCGGCGCCGGCTCATCCTTCCCGTGCAGCGTCAATTTGGATCCGTTCACTCCACGTCGACATCGATCCTGGCCAGGGCGAGCAGCGTCGATTCCAGAATTTCGAGGATCTGGTGCTGCTTGCTCGGCTGCCCCCAGCTCCTCCTCAGCCGCGCAGCATCTGATCCCCCCTCGGGAAGAAAGAAGAAGAGAGAGAGAGAGAGAGAGAGAGCGAAGAGAGAAAGAGAGAGAGAAAGAGACAGAGAAAGAGAGAGAGAGAGAGAAAGAGAAAGAGAGAGAGAACAACAAAAGAGGAGAGAGCAAGAGAGCAAGGGAGGGAGAGAGAGAGAGAGAGAATCAGACAAAGAGACGGATAGAGAGAGAGAGAGAGAGGCCGAGCGCAGCCAGATCAGCAGCACCACCTCTTCTACGATTGGTGCAGGGACGCCAAGAACAATCACAAACGATATGGCGGAAGAGACAGCAGACGATAGGAAAGGGCAAAGGGTTCGGCGACGTGGTTTAACATCATGTCCGAGGTGGCGGCATGTTTTCTCGATCTCGCTTCCAACGCAACGTCACAATCGCTGCACAGACTTGCTTCAGTGTAGCCTCGGAGCTGGTTTGGCCAGTGAGGGCGTTGGAACAGGTGGAGTAAGTGAGGGCGTCCACACTCCGGTAGTGATTGGCCACTCGGCTACGTCCGCACATGCATCATCTTTTCTGATTCGTACCGATCCGCACCGGATCGGCACTAATCAGGCCGCGTGTCTCTGATCTGGCTCCACATGTCGAGCCGCGCGCGGATCTGCAGCCATTCGGGCTCAGTGTATCACATGGCGTAGGTGTATTCGTAAGTGACGTTGCTTCATCAGAAGAGTACGATGCTTGCCGATTTGACCGACCAGTCTATGCGGGAAAACCTACTGCCCCGCACCCCACACAAGCATGATGAAGCAGATACCCCGACAGCATCAACTATGACATTTCAGGGGCAAGGGTGTGGCGATCATCTGTGCGAGAAGGCGGAGTGCACCGAGTGCGTGGACGATCGCTTCAAACCGCTGCTCGAGTTCGAGTTTCTCGACAGGCTGGGGGACGCGATGCTCACCAAGTTACGCGAACTCGGGTGGGGGCCCGAGATGGGAAGCCTAGCAGATTACTTCGACGAGCATGGCGACAGCCTCTTGCACTCCGCCGCACGCCGGGGGGAGGCGCCGGTTGTGAAGGTGCTGCTCGAGCAGGGCGTGCAGGCCGACACCCGCTGTCAGGGAGAGTGCTGCTGCACCCCGCTGATGGTTGCAAGCCGATGGTGTCGACACGACTGTGTCGGCCTGCTCCTCGACCATGGCGCCGACATCAGCCAGGTTTATGATGCTCCAACCTGCTTCAGCCTGGATCGCCAGAAAGAATGTCGAGCACCAAGAAACAGGGCAGATACCGGATGGTTTGCACGTGTCGGGTTCTGGGAGACACTCGTCCGACACTGTATCGGCACTGCCTCGACACTCTTTCGACACTTTTCCGGGTGCTCGAGATTATTTCTGTGATGTGGCCAGTAAGTACGATGGGAGCAACATAAAGCCAGGTGAACTATTACAATGAGACGGCCATCGACCATGTCAACAAAAAGGCAATCGGTGCTGAGTGCGACAGGCAGCTGACACTTTCAGTGATGCGTGACAGGGGCGCGCGGTTTTGAGGCGGACAACTGCGTGACTCCTCGTTTTCACAATCGCGTGCAGGGTGAATTCATGCTGGAGCTGACCAGTGGCTGCCCGGCTGCCCGAAGCGTATGCCAGTGGTCATGCCACGGTGTCCAGGTGCGTTTTTTTGTATGACAGACGGAGGGGTGCGTTTTATAGAAGAAGAAAAACGACATACACCGAAACCTTTGGTTGTCCGCGCGAATTTCTTGGATCTGGCCTGGACCCCCTTCCCTGGCGCACGCAGCTCGCCAGGGGAGGCGCCGGAGGCGCCGCCACGGGCTTGGTATCGCTCGGACGTGTGCACTTTTCTTCGGCGGGGATCATTGATGAGCATCCTGGGTCATCCTGCAAAAGAGCCACGCACGAAACCGAAAAAAAGCACAGGGAATGGACGTCCAAGCGATGGCCAGCCGGGGCCCAGCGCGGATCCAAGAAATCCGCGCCGAGCTCCAAAAGTTTATGTTTACGCGGCTTTTTTGTTCTTCGGTTTCAAGGACAGCATCGCGAGAGACTGACGCAGCCTCAACCGAGCTGCCAGACTCGCGATCGGCAGCGTGCTGCTGTCGCATACTGCCCTCGCTGCTCTCGACCGAGAGGAGCGGCGGGCGCAGTTGTTCGGAGGCCTGGAGGTTGACACCAACGCCAAGATCGGCGGTGTGCCTTCACCGAGAGACATCCGAGGCGGGAATTTATACATGACCGCTGCCTGGAGGATCAATTCTCGGGGACCTCGGCAGGCGGTGGATGTGGACAGATTCGGGCCCCCGGGGGCAACAAAATATCCATACCCACCGCCCGCTGGGGCACCAGAACGTTGGTTCCCAGGCGGTGGATCTGGATAACTCCCCGCCTCGCAAGAAAATGCTCCCCTCGGTGGTGGTGGTCCTTCTCGGGCCTTCGAAGTGGCCGAACTTCCGGCACCCGCGCCAGGATCTAGGATCGTCCTGCCCCTGTGGAGGCGGCCCCCTGTCACGGTGTTGGGGCCCATCTCCAGGCCTCCAGGTGTTTTACCAGCCTGGAACATGTCCCTATCCCTATGCTGGGCGCCTCCTCATCACGATGCCAACCTTAGGGATCCCCTTGTTTTTGTGAGGACGCATCCCTAAGATTGTCATCGCCTTTTGGCGTGTCAATCTGAGGGATAATGGAGGATGACGATGAATAAATGACCGGGGGTCGTGTTCACGCGGCGGCGTCCGGGATGATGATTAGACAAAACCGGCCGCGGGCTGGAAAACTATTTCTTGAAGTGTTCGCCTCCAGTCAGAAACTTGTGCAGAAATAGCAGAGAACTATGTTTTAAAACGTTCTCTCCCATTTGTTTTATGAATCGTCATCCCGCATTCGGGAAAAAGATGCGTTCGAGGCTGGTAAGGTGTTGCCCCTCGCGACTCTCGGCGGGGGCCGCCGCTCGGGCACCCCCCCGCGGCGCGGCCCGCGGCCCCAGAGGTTTCTACAGGCCACGGCGCGCGGCGGAGGCACGAGGGGCGCGCACGCACGAGGGGCGGAGTCGAGCGACGGCGAGGAAGCATTGCTCGAGGAAGGTAAAAACGTACAGTCATCGGCCTAACCTAAGGAACGATCAATAAGGAACGAAGCCCCACATGTTCTCCAGGGAATAACGCACAAGGAACGATTGATAATTCATAACGCATAGGGAACGGCAAATGGCGCATTCAGACCTAGGGAACGACCGAGCCCCTTTTGAGAAGTAAGTGTTCCTTATCCAAGCCGCTCGCTGTATTAGTTTTCTGTTTTATTGCTCGAAGACGACAGCACAGATTGCTGCATTGCTCGAAGAAGAAGGCAACGATTTGTACGTCGGCGGCGAGGGAAGTACTGCGCCAGCGAGCTGCCATCTAGGGCGACCGAAGCGCGAACTGCTGTTATACTGCTCGGAGAAGACAACACAGATGGCTGCATTGCTCGAAGCAAGAAGGCAACGTTTTTTACGCCGGCGGCGAGGGAAGTACTGCGCCAGCGAGCGGCCATGCGGGGCGACCGAAGCGCGAACTGGCCGCCGGCGTGCAGGAGGGGGGGGGGGGGGGGGGGGGGGGCAAAAGAGGGGGGGACGAGGCGACCGCGGAGGGCAGGAGGAGGGGGAGGGCACCCAGACGCGGAAGGAGAAGCTTCCCTGACCTTCCAGGAGGGCAAAAAAATAGCACGCGACTTAAAAACCTATCCCAGAGCTATTCGACGTCTTGGTTTTAGGCTGTTTCGTTTAGTTCTTTAGGTTTTTCGGTCTCCAGTGCTAAAACATAGCTCGCTGGAAGGTCGGGGTTCTGGCACAAGCAGAAACTTTTGGCGCTCCGCGCAGGTTTCTTGGATGTGCGCTGGGCCCCTCTGGCGGCGCCTCCGGCGCCGCCCCTGGCGCGCTCCGCGCGCCCGGGAGGAGGGTCCAGCGCAGATGCAAGAAGCGCGTGCGGAGCGCCAAAGATGCATGTTTGTGCAGTTTGGGCTCCTCGTCTTCGAGAGGGTCGGAGCCGAGCGACTGCGAGAACGGATGGAGCCGCACTGCTGAAGAGCTGATCTCTCGGGCGCGTTCCAGGGTCACCTTCAGGGGCGCGAGGTTGACCGCGCCACCCGCGAGGCGCGAGGCGCACAGCTGATTGATACAGCCATCTGCTAGGCCGAGCCGACCAATCGGCCCCCCCTCAGCAGAGTGGACTTCGCTCTCCCGGGCTCTCGCTGCTCCTGGCGCCAGTATCGCAGAGCGGGCTTCGCTCGGCAAGCACCGGGGTGGACCCGGACTGTCCTGGAGAGTCTCGTTCCGGATTTCGAAGCGCATCTCGGGCGGCTTCCTCTGGCCGGGAAGGAAGACTCGAGAAAACTCCACGTGAACAAGTCTATTCGTTTTTCGCTCGCCGTCTCGGGGATGGCATGTCGGAAATTGGAACATCTACCTTACCAGTGCCGGGTTTTGTTTCAACCCCACGCTTTTTTGAGGGTCGGGGACGACGTCGGGGTGCTATGGTGTATACTTTCCAGCGTTCCTGGGGAAACAACGAAACATGTATGCACCAGGATTCCGTATACACCAGAATCCGCGTTCCTGTGCGAATGTCAGCGCAAGATCGGGACCTTAGTGGGCCTTGAAAACGACAGGGCCGTTTTTATACCGGTTCCGTGTTGCCGTTTTTTGCCGGTTCCGACGCCGTTTTTGTTACCGGTTCCGTCGCCGTTTTTTGACCGGTTCCGGCTCCGGTTCCAATCCTGGAGCCGTTTTTTTGCCGTTTCGGGTCGCCGTGTTTTTGCCGTTTCCATTTTCAAGGGAAATCTTTTTACTGGAAACGGTGAAAAAACGGCCCTGCCGTTTCCGCGGCCCGCGAAAGTCGGGACAATCGTCGGTGCATATCCGAGGCCCGAAAACCATCACTTCACTAATTTTGGGCCGCAGGGTCCACTGAGGCCCCAGGGGCCCCAGATTAGTGAAGTGATGTTTTTTCCCAGGTAAGGACCCCCGAAATTTTTCACCTCACTAAACCGAACCCAGGACGAAAGTCAGGCGCCGAATTGCTGCTGTGATGCCACATCGGCCTCGTAGCATAGAGCTCGTTCCCCTGGGCATGGACAGAGAAAGCCACGCAAGCATCCGGTGCAGGAGCGGGCCCCCAGGCGCCCGAGGGCCACCGCGCGCGTAGCCCTGGCGGGGCCCAGACAGAGTCTCCGGCGGCGTGTCTGTCGGGGGCGGGCAGGGCCCTGGAAACGAGAAGGCCGTTTTTTTGCCAGTTCCGTTTTGCCGTTTTGTTGCCGGCTCCAACGCCGTTGTTTTACCGGCTCCGTCGCCGTTTTGTTGACCGGTTCCGGCTCCATTTCCAATCCTGGGGCCGTTTTGTTGCCGTTTCCGGTCGCCTCTTTTTTTTGCCGTTTCCAGTTTCAAGGGGCATTTTGGGGGAAACGGTGAAAAAATTGCCCTGCCGTTTCCGGGGCCCACAATGCTCCTACCCTGACACGTCGATTAAGGAATTGGCCGTTTTCGGATAGCGAGTGGGCGTCGCGGCCGTCGTTTTTGCGGGTCCAGGTCCGTCGGTTTCGGCCCCAGGCCGTTTTCACTGAGGGGAGGTCTACGCAATGGAGGTTTGTCCACCGCCGATGTTTTCCAAGTCGAGCCTGTCCCTCTACAGGGGGGATGTGCAAAAATAGTCAAAACAAATAGTCTGGCGACTCTTCTTTGCGTATTGTTACCCACTGGGGGGGAACAAGTTTTGAGTTTGGTGCTTTGATTTTTCGCCCAAAATCCCCCTGTAAGGGGGGCACGCCCGACCTAAGTGTGGTGCGACAGGGCCCAAACGAAGTATCCGGCGGCGTGGTCTTCAGGCTTCTTCTTTTTCTGCGCGGGCCCCGCGGGCCCCGGTTGCGGCCGGCCAGGGGCAAGACTTCCGAGGCGGGAAGGTATCTATATCCGCCGCCTGGAGGGTCACTTCTCGGGGACCTCGGCAGGCGGTGGCTGTGGGCAGATGCGGCCCCCTGGGGGCCGAACTATATATCCATGTCCACCGCCCGCTGGGGCACCAGGACGTCGGTTCCCTGGCGGCGGATAGGGATATATCCCCGCCTCGAAAGGGTGTCCTGAAGGAGTGGCACTGATTCGACACCCCAAATCGGGCCTGTCTCTCTACAGGAGAAGTTTTCCAAGATGGTCAGACATGGGCAGGGAATGATGTCTGGACCAAGTCTGGCTATTTCTGAGGGTTTATGGGCCAGCTTCTACTTTTCTTCAACATCCGCCTGTAGGAGGACATGCCCGACACCTGTGGTTGTTGAATCTCGCGCTCCTCGGGCCACGAGCAGCCGTGCGGGCGCCCCCGCCGCAGCCCCGAGGCAAGGGCGGCGTCTGCCCTGGCGGGGCCCAGGGAGAGCCGTGCACGGGAGGGGCAGCTTCGCCCGCCTGGCCCTTCTTGGCCTGTAGGTGTGTGAAGATCTGATTCCGGGTGGTTTCGATACGGGGCGCTTCAAGTTAACGAGCGAAGAACGGCATCAAATAATTGTTTTCGCTGTCGGGGGCGCCTGTCCCTGGGCGGCTGGAACGTTTATACCCCTACGGTGCCACCGTAAAGGTATAAACTTTCCAGCCGCCCTGGGGCAGGTGTCCCCGACGGCGAAAAAGTTTTTCCCAACCATCCTGTGGTGTTGGGTCTTCGTTTTGAAGAGACGTCGCCCCGCGTTCCTTCCTCCTCCTCCTTCCTCCTCCTCCCCTTCCTCCCCCCTCCTCCCCCTCCCACACCCATTCTGGCACACCCCTCACACGTTTCGTGGCCCCATAGGGAGCTCCACCGAAGGCCCCAGTGGCTGCGCCCGCATGCGGTTCCACCCCCCATTCTGGCACACCCCTCACACGTTTCGTGGCCCCATAGGGAGCTCCACCGAAGGCCCCAGTGGCTGCGCCCGCATGCGGTTCCACCCCCCATTCTGGCACACCCCTCACACGTTTCGTGGCCCCATAGGGAGCTCCACCGAAGGCCCCAGTGGCTGCGCCCGCATGCGGTTCCACCCCCCATTCTGGCACACCCCTCACACGTTTCGTGGCCCCATAGGGAGCTCCACCGAAGGCCCCAGTGGCTGCGCCCGCATGCGGTTCCACCCCCCATTCTGGCACACCCCTCACACGTTTCGTGGCCCCATAGGGAGCTCCACCGAAGGCCCCAGTGGCTGCGCCCGCATGCGGTTCCACCCCCCATTCTGGCACACCCCTCACACGTTTCGTGGCCCCATAGGGAGCTCCACCGAAGGCCCCAGTGGCTGCGCCCGCATGCGGTTCCACCCCCCATTCTGGCACACCCCTCACACGTTTCGTGGCCCCATAGGGAGCTCCACCGAAGGCCCCAGTGGCTGCGCCCGCATGCGGTTCCACCCCCATTCTGGCACACCCCTCACACGTTTCGTGGCCCCATAGGGAGCTCCACCGAAGGCCCCAGTGGCTGCGCCCGCATGCGGTTCCACCCCCCATTCTGGCACACCCCTCACACGTTTCGTGGCCCCATA